CTAAGATATAGACAATACAAATAGTGGTTTCAACAAAATGGTAATCAACAAGTACTATTTTGACTATATTAAAAAAATATTGACACCAAAATCATGAGATTTATAACTACTAGATAGTTTACATAGACTCAAGCAATGGATCGTGCTTATGCGGATAATATTGGTCGATATAAATAACTATCAAAATCAGGCGATGTATAACTACTGGTTAGTTTTTCATAGACTTAAGGAAAATATTGTATTTATGCGGATAATACTCGACGATATATATTGAAACTAAAATCAAGCGATTTATAACTACTGGGTAGTTTCTTATAGGCTTGTGTATTGGATAGTGTTTGTGCGAATAATCCTTCAACTCGCCACGTTTTGAAATGACCCTTTGTCAAGTAAAAAAGCTATTGCCAGTTATGTGCCAAGTCATCGAGTAGTACTATAAGGCACCATTCAGTACTATGGGACTGTAACCTAAACGGCTTATATGTACTTGTTTTACGTAAATCTTCGAAGACGAAACCAACTAAGAATAAAAATACCTAAGTGTAGCTTATTTAAATCAGTTCATAATGCCGTTAACAGAAATTTTCTTGGTAACATTTTTAATTCTTTTGCCTTCATTCGAAGTGTTATACACGTACATGTAGTTAGCATTGTTGCTGCCTTTATACGAATTGCTTGTCATGGTCTGAAGGATACTTCATCTTTTTTTTCATGTTTGACAGTCATTTGATTGACAGCACAAGTTAAGTGCATTAAGTGCTGCTTAAAGCGTAAATTAAGAACTCAGACAATTACTCAGAAAAAAATTCAAGAAACAACTTCAAAAGTGATTTTTGTATCATAACAACTGTAAAGTAATCGAGCACATCTGCTGTATACCTACGAGTACATTATTTGACATATTTCTATCTATCAAAGAATTGCATTGAACTGACCTCATTTCCTGTTGAGAAGTTATTGAATTTCTATTGTGATTGTTACAGTTTTTCAATGAAGCATATACAAACACGGTATCGTTTGTGTTAACTCGGCTAACACATGCAAAACAACTGCAGTACATATACCCTAGAGCACTCGCTACTGACAGTGAATGTTGTACTCTACAACTGCAATGACAGCGATATTACATTTATTGCCCTTAAGACAGAAAACAAACGCTTGATGGAAGCCAGTGGAGCCACAGCAAATATTACCAGCGAAAATAGTGCGGAAAAAAAGATACCAAAGAAGTGAGGAAAAATCATTTTTCAATCTTGCAGCTGCTGCGGTTATGGATGCAGTTTTTACTGCGATAGCATCCGATACTCGCTGGAAAGCTGTTAGTAATACTGTTGCTTGTTGCCAGCAGTAACGCAATCAGCCAGCAACAGTACCAATGCTAACACCAACGGCAACGACATTTAAGAAACATACGACCTCAAAAACCACGAAATCAAGTTGAAAAGTTTGGAAACTTTGCCAACAAACAAGTCGAGAATATTTTCAATCAAATCGTTGATTGTTTCGATGCATTGTTTCAACCTCCTTGCAAAGGATACATTTGCGAGCACAATGCAAGAGATGTGTAGTCAAGTGTAATACTCATAGTGTATAGTATATGGTATGTGGTATGCACTGGAGTCTACCGCAATTTTCATACTAAAGTGACATTTACTTTGCATTGCTACTCGAGCTCGTATATTTCAACTATTCTTCCGTAGTTTCTTTTTTTATATACGAAATACTCATAAAATTTTTTGAAATTTATTTACATATCACATACACGTTAGAACATATACTGCGGCGATTCCTTTGTCTTATTTTATTTTGCTGCAACATTTTTATTTCATAATTTATTTTGTCATATCTTACCACAAAATATAAGTTTCTGTCATAAATTTCCGGAATGTAAACATTTATCAAAACTTTTACAAAAATAAATGTTGCCAAAAAAGACAATAAAGGACATTTGTGAAAAAATTTATATGATAAAATTGTAGTATTCTATTCAGTTGGCTCTGCTCCTGTTGCATTTATTAAATTGATGCATGTTGCATGTAACTGCATATACGTTTCACATATGCAGACACATTTACCAAAGTAGCAATGTGGTAGTCTCCTTTATTACTTCTTGTTTACTACACATTTTCAGTTTTCATATTCATAACCAGTTGAATATAACGACCCAGTATTGCGGTGCAGTCTCTTTGGCTTTTATATCAAATTATAACTAATTACTCTCATTGTTTAAAATAATTTCACAAAAAGGTTATTTAATGATATTGCTTTATATGTATGTTGATCCTTTTTTATTCGAGTCAGCGCAACTGGGCACTTTTACTCTTTGATAGCTGGGGGTACTACAGGGACCCACCCATCTCATTGACTAATTTATGTATTGCCTATAAGCTTCATGATTATTCAGTGATTGATCTAAGATCTGCGTACCTCCCCGTGCGGAGAGTGATTACTCTAAGATTAGATAGTGGTAAGTAGGATAGCATATTGCTTTATAAACCTTTAAAATTTTAAGAGGTTATAATGAATTTTTAAGAACAATACTTCACATATGCAACACTTCTATTTGATGCTCTAATTGCATATATATATGTATATGCATTTATAATTTATTATTATATTTATTTATAATTTATTTAATATATATTTATTTATGTATATATATCATTATGTTGAATCTATTTGAGCCAGTGCAGTTGAGCACTTTTACTCTCTATTAACTCGAGGTATCTTCAAAACCCCTCTTTACGCCTTGACTGGCTTATTGTTTATCACTTCATCAGACTAACATATAACTTACATGATATTAAGCTAAGATAGAAAAAAAATAAAAATAATTTAAAAAAACCCTCAGTAGAAAGCTGTTCATAATGCAATAATAAAGTAATATATATATACAAATAATCTGATATAGTCTAATATCATATATATTATTGTATTATGTACAACTTTCGGCTGGAGCATTTCTTTTAAATTATTTTTCTTGCCTCAACCTTATTCCTTAAGCTAAGATGGAAAAAACCAATAAAATAAAAATAGTTTTAAAAAAATGCTTCATCCGAAAGGTGTTCATATGATTTAAATCATCGAATCATCGCAGTTGAGGAAAGCTCTTCAATTATAGTAACATTGTTATATTAAATCGGTCTTAAATCAGTCAATCAAACAACCAGTTTGCTTATATGATGTATAAACTTTAGGGTATTATACCTAACGCAATATTAACAGAAGTCAACTGCTTGAAATTAAAACTCAGAAATATTGTACTTTGTTTGTAATCCCGATAGTCATATGGACCTCAATCAATATCAATATCACTAACACTAAAAATAAAAGCCTATTCTATGCACCCACAAAGACACTTAAGAAATTACAAAACTTTTCAACATCGACTGTCTAAAAAGAAGACATTGTCGGTTGGCTAAAAGAAAATATTTTTAATAACATCCAAATTTCTAAAATTGTTTTAAATTATATTTATATATATATTTCTTTTATTCACAAAAGCAAAAACAAAGATGTTCTGACGGAACTGCCCTTATAAAGTTCACAGCATTTATGTTTTTTGTATAATTCGAATTATTTCGTCTAATATTATTATTATCCAACAATTAATACTTTTCCGCGCAAAGTTCCATTCGAATTTTATCACACTATTAGGGAACAGGAAAACCATAATGTAAATAAATTCTTAAAATCCAAAACTCGATATAAAAATAATGTTAACTTTGCCCAAATGGAACACCTATAGTTTTATTTATTTTAGATTAAGTTATACCGCCGATCCCTAGAGGATCCACTTAGATCTATTTACCCATTGTGTTAACGTATAATTAAGAAACTTAAGTGGCCCGTTGTCAACGCGCGATGCTGTCTAAGGGGGCCTTTACCATAGAGTTCAAAATCACTTAAAACCTTTGGTGAAGTTAAGGATGCTGTTTAGTGGGAGGTGTTTTGATTGATCAAGATCCTCAAGGAAAAGGGTCTTGGAAGTGTTGAATCGGAATATTAATGGTTTTACAAGTAATAACTATTTTTTAAAAATTAATTTAATCTCTTTTATATATTTGGAACTAAAAATTTGATTAGTTGTGTCATAATTTTCTATTCTTCTGCTTGATTGAAAAAAATTAATATACAATTTCCTTCAATTTTAAGTTCACAATGCAAATATATATATATATATATAGCTTTTTCTAATAAATTTATTATTAAATAATGTTTACAATATTTATTAAAATTCATTACGTATTAGGTGTCACAAAGGTTCAAGAGTTACTTAAGAACTAAATATAATTGATTATACTTCACTACTCATAGGTAACGAAGTTAAGTTAATAATTCTGTAGACTGAAATCTAAACAAATAATTAGCTCTTCAAACGTAATTTTGAAAAACCATTCGAAAAACACATTACATACAAAACTTACATATATTAAAAATTATATGAATATTTATAAGCGGAGACAGACAGAATGAATAATTATACCAACATGAATTATTATATAAATATAGTCGTAATTATACTTCTGTAACATCTACAACCAATTAGTTTATATTTAAACATAAACAAATAATTAGTCTGTACTTAGTTACCCATATATACACTACAAAACAGTAAATCAGAAAATTATTTATTTTATTTTGTTTCAATTGCATGTATTGATTGGCAGACCTCATCCTAATTATTTATTATAGTGTTTATTCACATTTATAAATAAATTATTATCGTCAAAGATTTATTATGTCAACTTCGGTTCGATCGTCATCATATCTGCAACAAAGCACAAGTACTCGTATTTCGCTATCTTTGAAGTTTTTTAATCAAAATCATACTGTGTATTTACGATGGGGTTTGTCGTGCTTCAAGGCATACAACCAATCTATCTTATCATCCAAGAATTTTTGCTAATAGATTTTATATTACCCGAAAAAAGTTCTAAACAACAATTTTTTCCTATAAAAGCTGTTCGCTGTTTGAGGTAAGTCAATTGTTTCGACAATTTTGAAAGAAACATAATGAAAGTTCTGGTATTTTTCGCTTTAATTGCATTCGCCGCAGCCGGTGAGTTTGCCTTAAAGGACAAACCTGTGTTCCTCGAGGACTTACCCATTGATGGTCAAATCAGTGGTCGCATTACCAATGGTAACAAAGCCTCGGCAGGTCAATTTCCTTACCAAGTTGGCTTATCAATTACAACATCAGGTGGCACTTCCTGGTGTGGAGGTTCTTTAATTAGCCAAAATTATGTATTAACTGCCGCTCATTGTACCAATGGGTAAGTTTCATTTGACTCTCTACTACTTTTTTATAAACAATTTATAAAATACAATATAGTATTAATACTTATATATTAAAATAATATTTTAAAATATTTTTTTATTACAGTGCTACTTCAATTGCTGTTTACCTCGGTTCTACAGTACGTACTTCACCTACAGTAACTCGCACAGTCAGCAAAAGCAATATAATTCAACATAGTGGATACAATTCAAATACCTTGGCCAATGATGTTTCTTTACTTTATATCGCAGCTGTGTCATACACCACCAATATACAAGCCATTAAGTTACCAGCTATCGCTTCTTCCTATTCCACATATGCCGGTTCTTACGCCATCGCCTCTGGTTGGGGACGTACCAGCGACAGTAATACAAAATAAATTCTTTTACTTTATTTAATGATTATTTACTTTATTTTAACTTTATTTTAAGGTTCATCTGTATCCAGTACACTGAACTACGCCCGTTTGCCGGTTATAACTAACAGCGTATGCTCTTCCACTTATGGCTCCAGTGTAATTACATCAGCAGTAATTTGTGTTTCAACTCCATCTGGTACATCTACTTGCCAAGGTGATTCTGGTGGCCCATTGGCCTTGGAATCAAGCAAGGAACTTATTGGTGTCACATCTTTCGTTTCATCGAAAGGTTGCGCTTCTGGTGCTCCAGCTGGTTTCGCACGTGTAACCAGTCACTTGGCTTGGATCAAAACAAATTCTGGAGTTTCATATTAGAACGACATTATAAATACAACTGAAATAAAAAACTGAATTATATAATCTATAATCTACAGTGTTTCCACATTTATTTAAGTTCTTCCATTTATTTTGTGTTGTTTTGTTGTTTTAGTTGAAGTGATTCTTATGAATAACTTAGTGTTGTGACATTAGCACTTTCAATCGGAAACTTCCTTTGTCTATTGCGATGCGCTCAAAGTTGTCTGGGAGAGGCGAATTACACTAATAGTAGTTATCTCCTGGTATTGACCTTGTTGAACCATTTGAAATATTCAGATAAACCTGAGCTGATTCTACAAGTCAACTTTCATTATCTAAAGTGTTTAATCGATTCTATCTCATCTTCGTCACTACTACTCTTGAACAGTCCATAATTTGGCATAATTTTAAAAATAATTCTATTTAAATACGACAAATAAAAGTACAATAATTAATATTATTATAAAATGCCGTATTCAAGTTTTATTAGTTAAATGTTTTTATGAGTATAAAATTAATATCTGTATGTGCTCCTGTATTTGTGGTGAAAACGATATATTTCTGCTACAATCTCAGAGGCAGTTTCGTAATACAGTGACTAAGCGATACTCTTTTACGATTTTTTATATGTGTGTTACAAATAATATATGTCGTTAGGGTCCTTAAAATAGCCATTTATTTCAAAAATGACCTCTTTATTTAAACAAAATCACTTACCGTTGAGCCATTCCTTTAGGTTTGAAAATAAGGAAATAGTAAAGGAAATAGGAAGCTAAGTCGAGAATATTCTGGTAAAGGAACATATGCGCCCATCTGTGGTTTTCATGGAATATCACTTTACAAATTGATATAAATATTACAAACATAATATTTACTTTATGCATATTAAAAAATGATTATTAATAAATCAATATATCATGTACATTAACTAGAAAAACAACAACAATTTTCCCTAACATATACTTAAGTTTTACAACATATTAATCATGGAAGCAGTTCAATTTTCAACCATCACAATTTTTGAATCCATTACGTTTCAAAAACATAATAGACATCAAATTTAAATATTATTGGACTGAATACTGATATATGACAAGCTATTTGAATGAACCTTTATTGATATATTGACGATTCTTTAAAATACATATAAAAAACTCTTTCCTGTTGCTGTCTAAAAGCAAAAAATTGAGCAACCGGATCTGTAAGATAATGTATAAATTGTATCTGGTGTTAAAATCGACTATTTTTACAATTTATTCTCTAATGCAACTACTGTAGTAAATATATGTAAAATATATTATTTATATTATACACATAATTACACTTATAAAAATGGGTGCAACATTTTTGAAATGTTGAAGGTTTTTTGGCTTGAAGATGTTTTGAGTAGAAATATAGAAATCGTCTAGGTCGGACACACTTTGCGTAGAGCGAGTGGTGACACAACAAGAATGGCGATTGAGTGAAACCCGATGGATAGCAGAAGAAGAAGAAGAATTGATATGGAAATGTGACACATGCGGAAAGCTGGGGAGAATTGAAGCTACTAACCAACAATCGTACCGAGTGAAAGATCTTTGTTACAGCTCTATGCTCCTTCTAGGAGTTAGAAAATTCAATATATAATTTGTATATAGAAACCCCCTATTGATTTTTAGGATAAGGGGATCAACTTGAAAATTTACTGGAGGTATTATGTGTGAGATTGCTTTCAATTCATATAGATCTATTCAAAATATTTGTTTAAATTTTATATTTTTGTTTAGAATTTAAATAAATTTTCTTGTACTGTAAATCGTCTCGATGTTAGTAACTTTTTATTTATAAAAAATCTTTAACACCTCAATTTTAAAAATAAAAGCTATGTCGAGCCTGTTATATGAGTCTATTTTTTGTTTCTCTGCATTATCTATTCTTGGTTTATTGGTCAAAACTTCTATAACTCTTACTGCTACTATAGAAATAGTGTGAAACAATCTAACAGTGTGAATCTGATCTAACAGAGATCTCAACAGAGTTCTATTTTAATCGTTTCTTTAAAATTGGGTATAATATATACAAATCGATTACTGTTATATAAAGTTGTAAAGGTGTACTCATATATTAAACAAACAACTGAAAAAATATTTTTGACGTCTTTTCTAGAAATCCTACAATACCATTCCTTCCACACCAACCAGAAAATTTGTTTTTTATATTGGAACACTTTTCCGGAGTCCGTTTCTATGCTTAATAATTCAAATAATAATTTAAATTAAATATCATTTTAACTAAACAAATAAATTTTCGCTTACCTACACATAAAATTAAGATTGTACACTTAATTTAAATTAATAGCAGTTAAGTAGTGGTCGTTTTTCATGCAAATTCACGTAAAGCTCTTAAATGCTCCAGTATAAACTCACTCCAAAAGGAACCATTTGAAGTTCCACCTGCAGAACAATTGTATGGATCTCGTGTTTGAAATCGGGCACCGCATGTGCACCATTTTGTTCTTTATTGTGTAATTTCATGCCATTTTGTTTATGAATTTTAAAGCCACGGGGCGTATGAGTGATATTTTTTCGTATGCACAACTCTTAACATCCGATTTATGCAATAAGCATAGACTACAGGCAAGTGAAAGCATAACCCAACAAAAGGACAATAGAACGTAACTCACGCAGTAACGTTAAACAAATGAAAAGTTTTTAAGTATTTTTTATTGTTGTTGCTTTTAAGTTTTGTTCTGTTGCTGTTGCTGTTGCTTTGTACTTTCTTTTGTATTTTTTCTTAAAAGGTAGCGCCTTTTACCACCGCATATGTTTCACATCGGGATTGTTTGATTTTCTTTTTTTCAAAAATCCTTAATTATATACTACAACATACAACATACAACAATGACAACAACAACTACAACAACAACAACAACAACAACAACAACAATCGCAGCAATAATAACAATAACAAACATTTAAGCGTGTGGCGGCAACACGCGACATTTATGCAACGCAGCAGGTTGCCAGAGTTGCCGCTTCTGGTTACTTGCTCAGTTTTGGCATCTTTGTCACCATAGCGGCTTATACGCTTTCATGCCTTTGTTTTCCGTTCACAGACTTACGCCTGTGGCTTCTCCAGCAGCCCAACACCAACAGTAACGACTCCAGCAAAAATGGAAAAAATTTTATTATTTTCATACTTAATTCTTATGTTTCATAAATTATGTTTTATTTCGTAAAGTTTTATATATGCAAAGTGTTTAAATTGTTATATGCCCCGCTACCGCCTAGTTGGGCGCATAAAACTTTTACAATTGTTTACAATTTTTTATATGGCTTTTCCTTTTTCCCTACGATGCCAATGTGGTTGACATATTTTCTTTTCTAAGCAACTTTCATAAAGTCCCTCATCCGTTCCAGTATTCTAAATTATAATTTATGCGTTATTCACACGGTTCGATAAAATGGAAATGCTGTTTTTAAGGTTTTTTTTTTGCAATTTATTTTTTATTTTTTATTTGTAGTTATTTTGATTTATGGAAGAGTGATATATCGAATGGGTAAGGTTCAGTTAAAAGGGCGCATGCTGATACAACTATCAGCACTTGGTAATCGGTATGTCTTTCAAACTATCAGGTATTAACTTGCTTGGCCACATTTTCCATTATGTATATCTTAGCTCCTCGCCAAGAAGGAAACTATATCCAAATATATAGTTTTAAATGGTCCCAGCGGTATTCCTCAGAGTTTCAGAGCTGTTAATGACGCAATATACCGATACGTGTGTTAAAATCACCGTTGTGTTAAGACACGTTAAATAACTCTGGACTTCTGGGTATATCTTAACTAAAAAGACTTTGCAAGTACCAGGTGAATCTTTATGTGTCATATTTGCTAATTTAAGTATCAACACTTCCACTCAGAGACATATGTTGCCCATTGCTGTGACCTTAAAATTGTTACGTGCTAACTAACATTACCGTAACTGTCCATTGCGTATATCATAACCTTAAAGCAACTACAAGTAACAGGAAATGCCTTATCTTTTAATTCAAGAATCAACACTTTAAACACCCGCGGGAAAAGGGGTTACATAATTCCAGGGGGGCTACTAAAATCCAATAATCACCAACCAATACTGTTTGTACTATAAATATTACCTGTGGCAACCAGTCGGAGGTGTCAATTTCATATCACATGTTTCAGGGCCCACAACTTGGTATGTCCTGACTAATTAAGGTTAGCCTTTTTAATGAGAGTAGAGAGACACTCCAAGTAACAGGAAAACTTTATATGTGTCTTATCTTCCGTCGTATTTGTTCAAAATTATTAGTCACTGACTTGTATTGGCGTAGCTGCATTTTTATTGCATGCATCTTACCCTGAGAGACACTGCAGTATCATGGAATCTTTGTAAGTGACTTATATTCTATCAACACTCTCACTCCAAGATATCTATTACATATTGTAATGCCCTCAAAATTTGTCAGATAATCGTTTATATTAGCCTAGATACTTTTTCAGTTGCGTATTAATTAGGTAGATACTGCAAGTATCAGGAAATCTGCATATCGCTCGAGTAGATTCCTGATTCCCTTCCATTCTTCATCTGTATAAATGGTAATTCCAAAGCGTTAACTGTCACTTATCCTTCATTAAGTGACACATACATCATTTGAAATGTATTATGACTTTTTAATGGTATATATATATATATATATTTTTAAGTTTTCTGAAAGTCACATTGAACTACAGTTTGTTACAGGACTTTGCAGTCAACATTTAATCAGGTTAATATTCTCTAACTGATATAATACTTTTATATGCACTTAAAACATTTTTGAAATATTTCTTTTTAAAACAAAATTTATTTGATTTTACAAAAATCTTAATTTTCCTCTTAAAAATTCCTCTTCAGTCAATTGAAGAAGCCAGAATGTGTTGAAGGCATGACATTTAAATGATAAAATTCTCTGAAATTTAATAATAAAATTAATTTAAATATTTTTAAGTTTTCAGCTGCCTTGATGCCATTCATTAACAAGGATAGTGCATGCATATGCCAACTGCAATAAAATAAATATAAACTTAA